CCATGAAAGCTTATGCTCCAATACGTCTGTTAGTCTATAAGGTGCCACAGGACTCTTTGTTGCTTTACTCAGAATGTGTCATCTTCAGATTGCAAAATGGCAAATTCTATTCCACTAATTTTCCCAATCCTTTTTTTGAAGGATTGGTCATAGGATTAAAGAGGAGGTATCTTTTTGTGTAAGTTTACACCTGCTGCTGGACGTTAAGGGAATGGCTTTGAAAAACTTATAGGGAAGAACCCACTCTGCTCCTTTCTGTGTTTGTGTACCCATGTTAACAGGCACTTGGGATTTCAGTGTGTAAAGGAAACAAAGGAAAAAACTTTCCTTGTCACACCATCCATTTTTAGGCCGAAACATTCATTTATTTCAAAGGAGACTTGTATTTAGCCCCGTATTATGTATAAACTTGTTGTATATTACTTTACTTGACTACTCAATGTTCTAGCTCAAAAACTGGGTCACTGGTGACTACAGTCAGGTAGTATTTGGCTATTGCGTAGTCCTTTCTCTATTGATAAAAATTGTAAGTAGTGATCAGACATTATTTAAGATAAATTACTGTAGTTGAAATTTGGTAATATTGTCTATAGATTAACTGGCCTAAAAAGACTTCACAATATTGAAAATGGCTCCTATCTAAGACTGATTATTGTGCTTCTGCAGGACAAAAACCAGTTGAAATAAAGACCGATCCAACTCCCAATAAAGTAGATGGAAAAATGGCCATAAACTCCAATGGGAGCTGGATCAGAATGGTAAAAGTTAGTGTAAAACTACATGAAATTGTGCCTAACGATTTTCTGACAACTTGTATTAACTATATTTCCTACTTAGTTTAGGAATTCTCGTTTGAGCTTTATCAAAACCTTTGGAACCAGAAGATTTGTAGGGGTTTTTTTTTTTTAAAGTACAGAATTTCTACCTTGAGTTTTGATGATTTAATTAAATGGGAGTTTATATGAAGAGCTAAAATTCTTAAGATGGGAGATAGTAAAAATCCATGAAGCTGTTGACCAGAATGTTACAAGCATTACCAGGTGTTGGGCAGATATTGCTACCTTTATGTGTTGTGGGACAGATAAGTATTTGGATATGGACAACAACAGATCAAATGCTTTATTTCAAACTGGTAGAAACAAACTGAATTGATACAGTTTCTTTTGTATTTCTTGTTGTTACAACCATTAGATTTAGTGTGCAATATTCTGTATAATAAAGTGTAATTAGATAATGCTTGTGAGACCATATGATTTGCTTCATAGACATGTTCTTTGGATTGCAGGTGAGCACATCTGGATAGTTCTTGATGGTCCTGTTGATGCTATTTGGATTGAGAACCTGAACTCTGTACTGGATGATAATAGAACCCTAACACTAGCTAATGGAGACCGTATTCCGATGGCACCAAACTGTAAAATAGTGTTTGAGCCTCATAATATTGACAATGCTTCCCCTGCTACTGTATCAAGGAATGGCATGGTTTTCATGAGTTCATCAGTTCTCAACTGGAGCCCTGTTCTTGAGGTATGGTCCACAATAATTAGATGATTCAATATATTGATAGAAGTTTATCAGTTAGGTATATTTAATGAGTGTTGAATACCAATGATTTTCAAGTAGCTCATTGTGCTTAGGTTATAACTTGGGGATACTCATTTTATCCAGTATATTTATTCAGTTGAAACACTATGTAAATGCATTAATTGTAGTCTGTCTTAGACATACTGCCAGATGATCATTTAACATAACTATGCCCCAGGTGGTGGTACTGAATAGTGGTGGTAAAGATTTAAGTCTTTAGAAGCTTGGGTGGTCTATTACACTTTCCACTTTTTCATTCTGGAATTTCAGTCTGTGTTTAAGAATATGGAACCTAAAGCCAAATTCCTAAAGCTGTATTTAGGCTCTTAAACAAAGGGCCTGATTTTCAAAAATACCAAGCACCCAATAGCTCCTAGTGCAGTGAATCTACTTCAGATAAGGTAAGGGTTGGGGAAAGGGCATCATGGATATACTCTGTGGTGCCATGTTCCTCGATGTTTTCCTGTTCCCTCTTCAACCTCAAGACAAGTATTGCATCAGCCCACCTAAAGGACCTTTCCCCCTTCCTAGAACTAAGGGTAATGGAACCAGTACATTGGGCTCTAACATTTCCTCTGATTTATCCACAGAATCTTTAGTACCAGTATTAGCTAATTGACAAAACAGGTATTTTTTGTCGTAGGTGTTCCTGAAGGTTTTGATATTGACCATAATTACATTGAAGACCAGGAACTTATTTGTATTTAGTCTTCAATGGTTTACTTAAAGCCTTACGTGCAGGAAAAGGTTCACAGCACCCTCTTAATGCTTCCGACACACAGTTTGGAAATAAGGTTGAAGAGCTCGTTGATTCCCTTTGGAGGTTTGTCAACTCAAATCAAAAGAGGGAGAGTCAATCTTCCCAACAGGGAAAACTTGACAAGATCCAAACTCTGATTTGTATGGTGTCACAGAACTGTTAGCCATTCAGTTAAATAGCAATTCCTGGATTTGTGAGTCTCCATGTGGAGAGTTAACTCATTGGGCAAGATTGCACAGGAGAGCTTCAGGGGTTATTTTTAACATGCTGGAATCGTTCCCAACAAGAAATGTGGAGGGAAGTGCAGATAACAGTGATCATTTCATTGTCCTGATGGAAGCAAGAAGTCCGTGTGATTTCTGGATCCTCCTTTCACAGTCTGGACCTCAAACTCCTGACCATGGATGATGGCCTCTTAGGGAAGGTGAGGTCAGAGGGCTCAGAGCATTAATTTATTACATATAAGGACAGTCCAGCCAGGCCTTCTGGACTGAGGATCACCTAATGAAGTAGCATATCCTGATCCAGTCCAACAGTGATATATGTAAACTGGCAAAGTGGCACTGACAGCA